CTGGAATACATAGTATACATAGTGTCTTAATACATAACTTAATACATAGATAACTTATTACATAACTTAATACATAGATAACTTACTACATAACTTAATACATAGATAACTTACTACATAACTTAATACATAGATAACTTACTACATAACTTAATACATAGATAACTTACTACATAACTTAATACATATATACTTACTACATAAATTAATACATAGATAACTTACTACATAACTTAATACATAGATAACTTACTACATAACTTAATACATAGATAACTTACTACATAACTAACTTAATACATAGATAACTTACTACATAACTAACTTAATACATAGATAACTTACTACATAACTAACTTAATACATAGATAACTTACTACATAACTTAATACATAGATAACTTACTACATAACTTAATACATAGATAACTTACTACATAACTTAATACATAGATAACTTACTACATAACTTAATACATAGATAACTTACTACATAACTTAATACATAGATAGCTTACTACATAACTAACTTAATACATAGATAACTTACTACATAACTTAATACATAGATAACTTACTACATAACTTAATACATAGATAACTTACTACATAACTAACTTAATACATAGATAACTTACTACATAACTTAGTACATAGATAACTTACTACATAACTTAATACATGGATAACTTACTGCATAACTTAATACATAGATAACTTACTACATAACTTAATACATAGATAACTTACTAAATAACTTAATACATAGATAACTTACTACATAACTTAATATATAGATAACTTACTAAATAACTTAATACATAGATAACTTACTACATAACTTAATACATAGATAACTTACTACATAACTAACTTAATACATAGATAACTTACTACATAACTTAGTACATAAATAACTTACTACATAACGTAATACATAGATAACTTATTACATAACTTAATACATAGATAACTTACTACATAACTTAATACATAGATAACTTACTAAATAACTTAATACATAGATAACTTACTAAATAACTTAATACATAGATAACTTACTACATAACTAACTTAATACATAGATAACTTACTACATAACTTAATACATAGATAACTTACTAAATAACTTAATACATAGATAACTTACTACATAACTAACTTAATACATAGATAACTTACAACATAACTTAATACATAGATAACTTACTACATAACTAACTTAATACATGGATAACTTAATACATAACTTAATACATAGATAACTTACTACATAACTTAATACATAGATAACTTATTACATAACTAACTTAATTACATAGATAACTTATACATAACTTATAATAGATAACTTACTACATAACTTAATACATAGATAACTTACTACATAACTTAATACATAGATAACTTACTACATAACTTAATACATAGATAACTTACTAAATAACTTAATACATAGATAACTTACTACATAACTTAATACATAGATAACTTATTACATAACTAACTTAATACATAGATAACTTACTACATAACTTAATACATAGATAACTTACTACATAACTTAATACATAGATAACTTACTACATAACTTAATACATAGATAACTTACTAAATAACTTAATACATAGATAACTTACTAAATAACTTAATACATAGATAACTTACTAAATAACTTAATACATAGATAACTTACTACGTAACTAACTTAATACATAGATAACTTACTACATAACTTAATACATAGATAACTTACTACATAACTTAATACATAGATAACTTACTACATAACTTAGTACATAGATAATACTACATACTAACTTAATACATAGATAACTTACTACATAACTTAATACATAGATAACTTACTACATAACTTAATACATAGATAACTTACTACATAACTTAGTACATAGATAACTTACTACATAACTAACTTAATACATAGATAACTTACAACATAACTTAATACATAGATAACTTACTACATAACTAACTTAATACATAGATAACTTACAACATAACTTAATACATAGATAACTCACTACATAACTTCGTACATAGATAACTTACAACATAACTTAATACATAGATAACTCACTACATAACTTCGTACATAGATAACTTACAACATAACTTAATACATAGATAACTCACTACATAACTTCGTACATAGATAGCTTACTACATAACTAACTTAATACATAGATAACTTACTACATAACTTAATACATAGATAACTTACTACATAACTTAATACATAGATAACTTACTACATAACTTAATACATAGATAACTTACTACATAACTTAATACATAGATAACTTACTACATAACTTAATACATAGATAACTTACTACATAACTTAATACATAGATAACTTACTACATAACTTAATACATAGATAACTTACTACATAACTTAATACATAGATAACTTACTACATAACTTAATACATAGATAACTTACTACATAACTTAATACATAGATAACTTACTTACATAACTTAATACTATAGATAACTTACTACATAACTTAATACATAGATAACTTACTACATAACTTAATACATAGATAACTTACTACATAGGTAAATTATATTCAAGACAATATATACACTATTATAATTATCATAACTATAATTATTATAACTATAATTATTATCATCATCACACTGGTGGTCTCCCACCCAGGCTGAGGGACTTGAGAAAGAAGAAACACTCACACCATCATTCACTCCATCACTGTCTTGCCAGAGATGTGTTGACACTACACTGATAAAACTGTAGCATTAACACCCAACCACCAGAGTGCAGGTACTGTACTTCCCACCTCCAGAGTGCAGGTACTCTACTTCCCACCACCAGAGTGCAGGTACTGTACTTCCCACCTCCAGAGTGCAGGTACTGTACTTCCTACCACCAGAGTGCAGGTACTGTACTTCCCACCACCAGAGTGCAGGTACTCTACTTCCCACCACCAGAGTGCAGGTACTCTACTTCCCACCACCAGAGTGCAGGTACTGTACTTCCCACCTCCAGAGTGCAGGTACTCTACTTCCCACCACCAGAGTGCAGGTACTGTACTTCCCACCACCAGAGTGCAGGTACTGTACTTCCCACCTCCAGAGTGCAGGTACTGTACTTCCCACCACCAGAGTGCAGGTACTGTACTTCCCACCACCAGAGTGCAGGTACTGTACTTCCCACCACCAGAGTGCAGGTACTCTACTCCCACCACAGAGTGCAGGTACTGTACTTCCCACCTCAGAGGGCAGGCACTGTACTTCCCACCACCAGAGTGCAGGTACTGTACTTCCCACCACCAGAGTGCAGGTACTGTACTTCCCACCACCAGAGTGCAGGTACTGTACTTCCCACCACCAGAGTGCAGGTACTGTACTTCCCACCTCCAGAGGGCAGGCACTGTACTTCCCACCACCAGAGTGCAGGTACTGTACTTCCCACCACCAGAGGGCAGGCACTGTACTTCCCACCACCAGAGTGCAGGTACTGTACTTCCACTCCTAGAGGGCAGGCACTGTACTTCCCACCACCAGAGTGCAGGTACTGTACTTCCCACCACCAGAGTGCAGGCACTGTACTTCCCACCACCAGAGTGCAGGTACTGTACTTCCCACCACCAGAGTGCAGGTACTGTACTTCCCACCACCAGAGTGCAGGCACTGTACTTCCCACCACCAGAGTGCAGGTACTGTACTTCCCACCACCAGAGTGCAGGTACTGTACTTCCCACCACCAGAGTGCAGGTACTGTACTTCCCACCACCAGAGTGCAGGTACTGTACTTCCCACCACCAGAGTGCAGGTACTGTACTTCCCACCACCAGAGTGCAGGTACTCTACTTCCCACCACCAGAGTGCAGGTACTGTACTTCCCACCACCAGAGTGCAGGTACTGTACTTCCCACCACCAGAGTGGCAGGTACTGTACTTCCCACCACCAGAGTGCAGGTACTGTACTTCCCACCACCAGAGTGCAGGTACTGTACTTCCCACCACCAGAGTGCAGGTACTGTACTTCCCACCACCAGAGTGCATGTACTGTACTTCCCACCTCCAGAGTGCAGGCACTGTACTTCCCACCACCAGAGTGCAGGTACTCTACTTCCCACCTCCAGAGTGCAGGTACTGTACTTCCCACCTCCAGAGGGCAGGCACTGTACTTCCCACCACCAGAGTGCAGGTACTGTACTTCCCACCACCAGAGTGCAGGCACTGTACTTCCCACCACCAGAGTGCAGGTACTGTACTTCCCACCTCCAGAGTGCAGGTACTGTACTTCTCACCACCAGAGTGTAGGTACTGTACTTCCCACCACCAGAGTGCAGGTACTGTACTTCCCACCTCCAGAGTGCAGGTACTGTACTTCCCACCTCCAGAGTGCAGGTACTGTACTTCCCACCACCAGAGTGCATGTACTGCACTTCCCACCACCAGAGTGCAGGTACTGTACTTCCCACCACCAGAGTGCAGGCACTGTACTTCCCACCACCAGAGTGCAGGTACTGTACTTCCCACCTCCAGAGTGCAGGTACTGTACTTCCTACCACCAGAGTGCAGGTACTGTACTTCCCACCTCCAGAGTGCAGGTACTGTACTTCCCACCACCAGAGTGCAGGTACTGTACTTCCCACCTCCAGAGTGCAGGTACTGTTACTTCCACCTCCAGAGTGCAGGTACTGTACTTCCCACCTCCAGAGTGCAGGTACTGTACTTCCCACCACCAGAGTGCAGGCACTGTACTTCCCACCACCAGAGTGCAGGTACTGTACTTCCCACCTCCAGAGTGCAGGCACTGTACTTCCCACCTCAGAGTGCAGGTACTGTACTTCCCACACCAGAGTGCAGGTACTGTACTTCCACCACCAGAGTGTCAGGTACTGTACTTCCCACCACCAGAGTGCAGGTACTGTACTTCCCACCTCCAGAGTGCAGGCACTGTACTTCCCACCACCAGAGTGCAGGTACTGTACTTCCCA